GGATAATAGATATGGAGCGAGCGTAGACAAGAATCAGCAGGAGATTATGTACTTAAAAGATCCTGCCCGGTATATGATGGCTTGCAGGATGCTGTGGATGGGTTTTTACCATTACCGGTTCAGCTTATGTTACAGAAATCACTATAAACTGCAATTTCATTAGACAGACAGACAGACAGACAGACAGACAGACAGACAGACAGGGGCGGTTCTAGACCACAGTAACTTGGGGGGGCGACGACGACAGGGGCCACTTGTGCTTTTAGGGAGCACAATTTAAAAAAAAATTCATCTTAACCTACTTTCGGTATTATTCATTCGATCATTTTTCACCATGTCATGTATCACTGCAATCTCTAGAAGTAATCTATAACAATTTCAACTAAATTGAATGTTTCATCATGTTTCATTTATTTGACAAATAATTTTGTATTGTACTGTCAGGGGCATCATGCACTCCTTATTTTTGAGGGGCCACTAGTGAAGGGGGGGGGGCTCTCATGCTTGTCATGTGACACAGCAGCCAAGATACCACTGTATAACTGATATAGGCTTATGTTTTATTTAATTTTTTATTAGAAATATTCCCAAACTATATCATGAAATATCTCAATTCTCAAATATGTATAAGTAAAATAGCAAATTTGTGTGAAGCCCCTCCCTCAGAAATACACAATGGGCTCAGATGGGTTAGCTAGTCCAGTGTGTTGTGATTGGCTAAACCGCCTCTAGTGCGCGTCTAAACGTCCTGCCCCTCACCTCAGCGGCATGTGCTCCGGTTGTATTGTAAACAATGGCATCGTCTGTTTGTTGTTGTCTCATACTTTTAGATACGGTGTTATTTGTAAATGCTACTGCTTACTACTACTGCTACTGTTAGCTTTTAATATACGGTTTTATCCTGATTAAAGCTTTAATAGAGTACGGCAACCGCACGCGAGTCCATGTATAACGCTTCTCATAGCTATGTGAAAATAATTGTATAAATGGAACAGTTCATTGTCGGAGATGAGCTGGTGATCTGAATGAGAGATTGAGAAAAAAAAAGTGAAATCCCAATCAACCACCCCTTTAAGGTTTTGGATTTGCCAAGTCAAAGTCCGGACTTAAATCCAATTGAGATGCTGTGGCATGACCTTAAACAGTCCATTCATGCTCGAAAACCCTCCAATGTGACTAAATTAAAACAATTCTGCAAAGAAGAGTGGGCCAAAATTCCTCGACGACAGATGGATAGAAAGATAAATTATCTGGAAAAATATATATATTTTAATCATCTGGAAACCTAATTGCAATTGTACCATTTGACTCAAGTAAATAATTTAAAGGGGTCATCGGATGCCCATTTTCCACAAGTTGTTATGATTCTTTAGGGTCTTAATGAAAAGTCTGAATGAATGAGTAATGAAAACATACTTTGGTTAAAATTTCTCAATGGTAGTGTAAAAACTCCCTTTTTACCTTGTTAAAATCAGCTTTTTTCACAGCAACCCGTTTTGTTGCATTTCCCTTTAAATGCTATTTAAAGGGGTCATCGGATGCCCATTTTCCACAAGTTGATATGATTCTTTAGAGTCTTTATGAAAAGTCTATGACATACTTTGGTTAAGTTTAAAAAAGGTAGTGTAAAAAACACCCCTTTTACCTTGTTAAAATCAGCTCTATTCACAACACCCCGTTTTGTTGCATTTCCCTTTAAATGCTAATGAGCTCTGCTCACCCCGCCCCTCTCTTCTGTGGTGTGACCAGCCATCCTGTTTACGTTAGCCGAATTTAGCTGCATTTAGCCACGAAACTTGCTAACTAGCACATTATTAGGAAAGACAATTAGCAAAGATTCATAAAAAACCCTTATACTCCATGTAGGTGAAACTGGATCACGAATGATTCCCGCGAACATAGACGAATTTAGGTAGATCAGAGGGCGCATTCCCTTCAAAAACGAAAGTAACGTTAATCAAGCCATTCTTGTCCACGTCCCTGCTCCGGCGTCGAAACAATGGCGGACTGTTCACAGCTCACTCAGGGCGGGTCTAAGGTAAGACGCCAGTGTCAATCAACTATCGTGGGGAGCGGCCTTGGTCTGTGTGACGTCACACAGCCAAGAAGCTGAGAATGGCTTGATTTGAAAAAGGGGATATTATTTATAGAGATTAAAAAAGACCACTGGGTGGATTTTTATCATTATAGGGTGGTTGTGTACACACACTGCCAACACACATTTATGTTCAAACAACATGTAAAAGTGAGTTTTGCATCCGATGACCCCTTTAAAGATACATGCAGTAGATTATTAGAATGGACTCAAATGTTTTTATTATTGTTATTATTATTATTCATACATGCACCATCGACATATTCTCGTAAAATAAATGAATAGGATGAATCACAGAGAGAGCAAGAGGATGTTTAAACTGTAAAGGCTTAACTGACGTGGTTTGTTGATGAGATTTGAGGTGAGGTTCTTAGCCAAGCCGCATCCTCCTGCCACATGCCATCCTTGATGGAGTAACGCAATATCAAGGTCTAGACATTAAGCACTGTATAATTGACGAAGTGTAAAACAAGATGGGCATAAAACCTACCTCAGAAGTCTTGCCCTCGACTCTTAATGTTGTTTTAATGAGTCACACTCTCTCCAGACCTCAGGCATATCATTTTGTAAATATTTGCTTTTGGGAACGAGGTGAATATAGAGCCCAGCATGTCTTCAAGCTGAAAGCAAACAAACATTCAGAGATCATCTGTTGCATTGTGCACTTGACATCTGAATGATCCATTTTATGGTTACAAATTAAAAGTGATTGGGATTGCATTATTGCTATATAACAAAACCTTTTTACAATGATATGAGCCATTACAATGATAGTCAAGTGAGTTACAGACATTAGTGAGTTTTTTTTTGCAACAAAATACATTTCCATAACCATCTACCCTCTCGCTGATCATTAGAATTAGATTTTCTAATTATTTTTTATACATATTTTTTGCGCTACTGTGCCCTTAAGACTATGTGAACACTCTCTTTGCATGTAAAATAAGTCATAATGCTTACTTGTCATCGAGTCCAGTGTAGCTGGTGCAATAGCATTCTCTTTGAGAAGTCTGCATCACATTGTGACATGATCACAAAACTGAGCTGAAATGTGCCACAAAACTGTTAAAGCCAGACTGAAAGGATCAAGCACTTATAAACTTTAAATAATAATGATAAACTTCATCCAAACCTACCTAATATTGATACTTGTATATTGCAAATTATAGACACTCTGAAATAATATCTACTACTTATAGTGTTTAGACATTTGCGAAACACTGGAATATGCTTTGTTGGAGTTAATGTGTTTATGTGTTGATATGATATTCATTTTGCAGGTTTACTATAGCTAAACTATATTTCTGCACTGTAAAAAAAATCCATAAAATTTACGGTAAAAAAACGGCAGCTGTGGTTGCCGGAATTTTACTGTAAAAAATATGGTAGCAACGTTTTAGGTTTTACGGTTTTAACTTAAATTTACAGTTAAATACCGTAATTTCATTAACTGATATAATGTTAATATACCAACCTATTGAAGTACTGAAATCTGTTTTGTACCTTTGTAATACACTGATAACCACCAAATGCAGGTGGTGATGAGAAAGTCACATGATTAACCAAAGCCCATCACAAGCAGCTTTTAAATAATAACATACAGTATATAGAAGGTGCACAGTGTCATTCACACAAACACCAAACACCATCATGGTAACACACATGAAACTGAAATAATGCAATAAACATTCATTTAACAACATTAGGTGTAACACACAATCCTAATATACAAAACTGATAAGAAAAAACTAAGAAGAAACATAGTTATTTCAACAAAAAAACATCAAATTTGAAATGTAACGCAGGGAATTCTGGGAATGTCAATTTTACGGTTATTCACTGTAAATTATACAGTCTTTTTCACTTCCAAAAACGGTATACTACCGTAAAATTAATGTCCAATACATGTAATGTCCAATACAGTTTTTCACCGTATATAGTAGGGGAATTTACCGTTACCCATTTAACAGGTTTTTACTGTAGCATTTTTACAGTCTTTTACCGTTAAATTCACGGTCATTTTTTACAGGAGGATAATTTTGTCAACTACTAAAATATTGCACATTGAACTTGTTTTTCCAGATGCAGCCCAATTAAAACACTGAAGGCACAATTTAGCACATTTTAAGAGACTTCAAACTGCACATTTGATGTTCAAATAAAATCTCAAAGCATTTTCTGGTGGTGCAGTACTGAGACGTTGCTTAGACGTTGCATAGAGATTGTTCCCTCTCTATGATTTGGAATAACAAAGCCAGGTGCATAATGACACTATTTCATATGGAGCACCAGGTTAACATCTGCACTGCTGAACGCTTTTATGTGACAGGACTAACAACTGCAGCCATCAATAAGAACAAACGGGTGAACTTATCGCCTTTACTAATGCTGGATTTAGAGTTAGAGTTATTTAACTTCAAAACTGTTAGACACACATATGGCTTTTTTAATGAGCAGCATTGCCAAAATGAATAGAAATTGCTTTGTTTTACCAGAGTAA